AACCCGCCACCTTAGGTGTATGTGGCTGGTGCCTTAGCCACTTGAGCCATAGGCACCGAGCCAGTGTGGATGTTCTTATAGGCACACCTCAGAGCTGTTACAGGTTTGGTTCCAGACCATGGCAATAAAGCAAATATTGCAATAAATCAAACCAACACATTTTTAGGTTTCCCACTACATATAAAAATTACGTTTACACAAAACTGTACTCTGTTAAGTGTGCGTGAGCATTATGTCTAAAAAGAAACTAGGTATATGCTTTCATTTAAAAATACATATTGCTAAAGAATAATCATTTTACAAATGCTAACAATCAATGCTGAGTCTTCAGCCAGTTAAACTTTTTGCAGGCAGTGGGTCTCACCTCAATGTTGATGGCTGCTGACAGATCAGGGCGGTGGCTGCTGAAGGCTGGGGTGGCTGTAGCAATTTTGTAAAATAAAACAATAATGAAGTTTGCCACCCTGGTTGACTCTTCCTTTCATGAAAGATTTCTCTGTAGCATGCAATGCTGTTTGATAGCATTTTACCCATAGCAAAACTTCTTTCAAAATTGAAGCCTACTGTCCAAAGAAGATGCCATCTAAGACTTTCATACTAGAGAGAAGTCAATGCCAGGCTTCAAAGCTGCAGAGGACAGGCTGACTTTCTTGTTAGGGGCTAATGTAACTGGTGACTTTAAGTTGAAGCCAGTGTTTATTTACCATTCTGAAAATCCTAGGGCCTTTAAGAATTGCTAAATCTACTCAGCCTGTGTTCTAGAAATGGCACAATGAAGCCTAAATGACATAGGATGGTTTATTGGATATTTTAAGCCCATGGTTGAGAACTACTGCTCAGGCAAAAAGATTCCTTTCAAAACATAACAGTTTGTTGAGAATCCATCTGAGAATCCAAGAGCTCAGATCTTGGACTCATACCTTTACCTGTTAATCTCCTCATCTATAAAATGGGATATTCAGAGTGTGTGAGGACTGCTGGGAGGAGGAAATGAACTGATCTATACAAAACACCCCACAACAGGGCCTGGCATATGGTAAAGGCCGAGTGTTTCCTGTGATAATAAACAGAAAAACAGTAACTCTTTTTGTGCCATGGGCTTTGCTTGCAGCATCTCATTTAATCATCATGTCTGCCTGACCAGATAGGCACTATTATAATTCCCATTTTGCAGAGGAATAAACTGAGGCTTGAGGAGTCCACTCTTGCTCATGGTCACAAAGTGGCGGCATTTAATTGAGCACTCCCAGCTCATTCTGTTCTGCCCTGTTGCTCTTTCCTGGTGGAGAAGGTGGTCTTCTCTGGGGAGGTAGTCTTTTGAGGGATTGGCCAATGTCATCCAGAAGGGCGGGGAAAGCTAGCAGACAGGCCACCAAGAGCCATTGGCAGGGCAGGAGCTCAACATCCATCTCCTGGCTTGGGCTGGATCTTCTCTGCAGATCCACCAAGACTTAGTGGGACCTAGGGGTCTTCCGTCCTGTTGTGAGGAGGGACAAAGTCTGCACTCTGATCTGAAGTTCAGGGCACCTAAAATCATCAAAAAGTGGCCCTCATTTGCTTGGCTTTTAAAGAAAACTCACCATAGAGACAGGAGAAATGGTTTTCACAGGACAATGCTTAATGTGAGGCTCTAAAAAGCTGCATTTTTTTTTTTGGTTGGGGATTCATTGAGGGTACAAGAAACCAGGTTACATTGATTGCGTTTGTTAGGTAAAGTCCCTCTTATGCTTGTGTCTTGCCCCTAAAAGGTGTGTCACACACCCAGACCCCCACTCCCTTCCCCCTTTCCTCTCTTGGCTCTTCCTTTTCCCCTACACCCTTCCCTCTTTCTCTCTCTCTCTGCTCTGCCTTTCCCCAACCCCCACCGTGTACTAGGTCATTAATTGTCCTCATATCAAAATTGAACACATAGGATTCA